ATTCATAGAGGGGGATTATTAGGAGGCATCAGGTAAGACCCCTACTCTTTTTGAGAAACACCCTGGGATTTTTAATGACCACAGAGAGTCAGGACCTCAGTTTTACATCTCATCCGAAGGACAGTGCTTATTTACAGTATAGTGTCCCCGTCACTATACCGGGGCATCAGGACCCACCTGGACCGCAGGGTCATCCCCTGCTGGCCCCACTAACACCTCTTCCAGCAGCAAGCTCCGTTTTTCCCAGGAGGTCTCCCATCCAGGTACAGACCAGGCTCACACCTGCTTAGCTTCAGTGGGCTGCCAGTTGTGAGTTGCAGGGTGATATGGCTGCTAGCCATCTTATCTTAAAAGAACTGCAGCTTCATAATCAATATGTAATATTTGTCATTATACCTTAGAAATTGATTCCAGAAATATCAAATATATTCCATCAAAAATGTAATTATCTGGGTACTGGAATCTTTTTTACCAAAAGTTGAAGAGAGCTCTAATTAAACCTTTCTTATGGAAATATTACTCACTCTGCCCTTTTTAAAGAACAAATGTTCAGTACAGGTTAATGCATAGCAAACATATTTCAAACAATTCCCAGTATCCTTGAAATTGTAGCAGCAAGGGTCCCAGTCACCCTACTGGTCTAACTCACTGCAACAGGAACTCCAACAAGAAACATTCTGGTGCAGCACTTCATGTGAGCTGCACATTAATTAAGAGCAAGAGACGAATTAGTCGCTTGTATCTACACAATCATACTGCAGTGTTTCTCAGAAACCACGATCAGCAAATAATTTAAAATACAGCTTATAACTAATGAAACTAGTTAACAACTGATTTAATTAGTTAATATTCAACTTTTTTATGATGTAAAATGTAGCCTTTTTTCCTTTTCAGAGAAAAAATATTCTTCACTGGTTTTGGAAACAAAACTGTCTACAACTCAAAAACAACACTGTTGTGGTACTAATTAATTTTTTAAAAGATGTACAGTAGTACCAACTGTGTATGTTTTCTTAAAGCTTTAAGATCTAAAGCTATTTTGGGATTATACCCTTTGAACTTCCATGTTTTGGTCTGATTTCAATACCAAACTCTGAGTGAAACAATGCAGCTATTTATGCACTCATAGTGCATTGGTTGTTAGTGAAACGAATTAATCAGTAAATCTCTTTACTGTGCATGTTTTAATCCACTTAGTTTTGAATATTTATACACCTAAAGGGAAATTTTTGTAGCTGAGCATAAAAGGAAGAGGAGCATAACGCATCTGAAGGTCATAAAAGATATTAATTTAGGAACATAAACATGTTCTGTAAACTGTATATGGCTGGTATCGGTAGATTAAAGAAAGAATACACACCAGTATTCCACTTTCTTCCAAAACATTTTCTTCTTCAAAAAGCACCAAAGTCTTTCATTCGGTTACATACTGTGGTTATTTTGGAATACGTGCTCCTACTGACTATATTAAGTTTATATGCTTCATAAAAAGTTATAATGTTTTAACATTTCCTATGAATATTTGCACTCATTATCCTAGTAAAAAAAACGCATACTTTTTAGAATTTGATTAATAGGGAATTGGGCATCTAAAGAAATTGATAACGATATTAATTAATATGTTGTAGCTCAAATTATCACAGTAGTATACTTTCTTTGGAAATGTCTGCATCAGTTTAAGTAATTCCCGCATGATTATTTGTGTGATGTAATTAGGCATTATTAGGATGTAATTAGGCATGTACCTTGCGTGCAGGAAGGCAGGGGTTCGAACCCAGTTGTTACCATGAGTTTTCTTTTAACAAATAAAAAGTTCTATATTTATGTATTTATTTAGTGTTTTCATTAGTGACAAAGGCTAAACTTTCAGCTTCATATTTAAAATCCAATAGAGATGATTTGGCATTCCCTGAAAGTCTATATTCTGAAAACGGCAAAACCTAGCACAAAGCAAGAACTGATCAACGTGATCTAGAAATTCTGTGAGGAAGGACAGACAAAACAGTTGTCTGTCAAGTTGCAACAATGTTATTGACAGGCTGTTTCGAGTTCTTCCTAAGATTGTTGAGCGCAGTGTGGGACATTCGGGAATGTGATTTCACAGATGCTTTTGTTCTGTCATGCATTGTCAGATTGTGAATTTATAAAAGCATTTAATTAAACACCCGTTTACGATTTTAATCAAAATGGGGGTAATGGGTACTCTCTATTATAAACATAAATGTAAAGCCCAAAAATTAATAATACCAACAAATTCAATAAAGTGTCAATAATATTGATTATCAGTAATAACGACAGTAGTGGCAGTACAGTACAGTAGCAGTCTGAAATTATTCTTCGTTATTAATAAATCACTTAACTTGGAAAATGTTATATTTAGAAATATAAAAAATGTCAATATAGTGTCCATAATATTTGCTATTTTAGTTTTTCAAAGAAATTTTTATTTGGTAAAAGAAAACACATGGTGACAGCTGGGTTCCAACCCCCACATTACAGCACGCAAGGCACACGCCTAATTATGTCATACACATATACACGATTCCATATTATATTCGCTATTAATCAATTTCTAAAAAGTATGTGTTTTTTTACTGCGATAACGAGCGTAAGTATTCGCAAAACAGTTTTTAAACATTATAGCTTTTTACAAATTATATAAACTTAATATTGTCAGAAGGAGAACATAACAACTTTTGCAAAATAACCACAGTATGTAACCGAATAAAAGACTTTGATGCTTCAAATATTTATGAAGAAAGTGGAATACTAGTGTGTATTTTTTATTTCAACTACCAGTACCAGCCATATACAGTTAACATAATATGTTTATGTTCCTAAATTAATATCCTTTATGAGCAATCTCCGGGAAACCATTATAGGCATGGTGAATCGGAGATTCTCAAAACTTACTTTGTATGATTAACAAATACATGATGGGATTAACGAAATGCTTCGAAGAAAAAGGCACTCCTTCCTTCCTCTGGACAGTCTGTGCAGCAACAAAACAATCCGTTTAAACAAGAGAGTGTGGTGTTATTTTTTATCAATGAAAAAATAAAGTATTTTTGTGTCGCAACAGTTAAACTGATGCTGACAGTTACAAAGAAAGTGGACCACAGTAATACTTTGAGCTTATAGCCTGTCCAAGGTAATTTATTATTGATACTATTAGTAATATATTCCGCAAAGACTTTGATGCATAAAATATTTCTGCATAATTAAAATATTTATGATGAAAGTGGAAGGTTGTGTACTTTTGTCCAACTGAGCAATCTTGCTTTTATAAAATATACCGACTTTTTAATGTTTAATGATTAAAATGCTATAATACACAGATTAAAATTCTAAAGTCTAAAGAGTATACAACTTAAATTCTTAATTGAAAAAAGATTGTCCCTCAGCAGTGACCAGGATTCGAAACCAGGCGTTTCTGGCGACAGCTCAAATGCTGTACATGGGACGTTAAGCTTTATTAGCTCCACCTGGCGTTCTATAAGGTGCTTCCGGATACTATTATCATATTTCAATTTGCATGCTGTATAATGCGGTATGATGTGCTACACCTACCACGTTTTAACGCAGCGTATTTCGCACATTTTGAATGGCTGGATCTGTAGGCATTTAGAAATCCTCAGGTTAATGAATGAAAGATGGTGCTGTAGATTGTTCCTGCTTCTCCAACAATAGTGGTAAATGCTAATTTAATTTGATCAAATCTCCCCAGAGTATATATTTGTTAGCATCATCCTCCCCCCACAGGACATTAGTGTGCATGCCTAAATTTAAAGCAAATACAATCTGGCAGTCATGCCACACAACATTTCCTTTCAGCATTGATGGACAATGCAGATCCTTAACACGCCATTCTCAAAACAACCCAGACTGAAGAGAGTAACACAGTCTGTTCTGTCCTCAAGAGACAATTACATGAACAAAATACTCATAACACAAAATATGTAAACTAAAAATGTTATACATAAATAAACTATACCATACAATAACATGTAAGCTTCACCTGTAGAATTACAAATGCTAATCATCAACTTGAGATGTGGCCAAAATACAAGGCTTAACTTTCATAGAGCAATTTCTTAAACCTTTTAACTAACCTGCAATAATTTTATTTTAAGTACAAAACGTGCATGTGCATGTACTTGCTCTTTGAGAAATATCAATCCCAAAGCCTAAGCCTTAAAGTTGTCAAGTACAACTTAAAAACAGTACAAACATAAAAACAGCTTTTACTATCTTAAACGATAAGCAACATTAATGCAGTACTCTAAATTATATTGATATCTAGGGCATTATGAACACAAAAAGAGATGTGAAACGTTATGGGTTGGTTTTGTTTAGCTTTATAGTTGGAAAACAACATAACAGCTATATGAATGACTACGCCTGTTTCTAAATGTAAAAAATAAATTCACTAACATTTGTGCCGACTGCATCAACAACATTACTCAGAGATCAAATTACATTCGCCTCGTTGAAGGACCCCTGTCTATTTTGTTTTGTTCAGTAAAATTAATTCGGGGCGCACATTAGACGAGGGTCTGTTACAAATCGTATATATTGAACATTTATTTAGAAGTTAGCTATTTCGCAGTAAACCTTACCAGAAATTCAAGATGTTTAATAGGAATGTTAACATCACTGTTTAACGTCAACAACTTGAAACCGTATATATGTAGACTGTAACAATAATCGACAGAATCATACACCTTCTCGAATTTTATATTGTGCTTGCAATAAAATCTAATGTCTAATCTAATAAAATCTGTGTTGTGTGAAACAACCGACTCCAAATTTAAATATTTAATTTAAATAAACGCATCCGCAAACAGCGAAGGCATAGCTAACACTGGAAAGTCATTGGTATGGAACTGACATACCAGCGCTGTTACAGCATTCATTCTGAGCACAGCTTTGTATCAATTCTCTTACAGCGACTGATGAGCAGATCCGGTGCGATTGAAGGGATGTTATGATATACTCACTCGTCGTCCTTCATGATGCTCTCCTCTGTAATAGGTTTCACTGGGGCTATGTTCTCGGTCTTGGTGTTGTAGTTTCGGAAACACACTGTCAGTTTCTCATCGAAGTCGTTCACCAAGTCCTCCATGGATTTGAAGCTACCGATCTCTCCGGAGAAGCTATTGTCGAGCTCAGAAAAATCCTCCAGGAGCCCCGGGGCTTCCCCAACATTGGAGTTCACTTGATCAAGACGGTTTTGCTTACCCGAGGCCGGTTTAAATTCATAAAAGTCCTGCCAGTCCTCATCAAACTGCGCTAACGGCGCCGCCATAACTGCAGCAAGAAAATGAGACGGTCACCGCTCTGCTGCTGCCTGGCTCTTTGCCCTCACTACAGCTTAGCCTAGTTAAAAATGAGAGGGAGGAGCTATATGTGAAAGGTTCCTGACGCCAAACGCAGCCAACCATCTTCACTCATTATGTTGCTTCTTCTTTCAATGCGCTACAGGCTACTGTAGGTTTCAGTCACACATGAATGTTTATGCATGTGTTCAGTGGCCAAGAACAGCGTATCAAGTACGCCCAGTTGGCGAGGAAGATTTACCCCTCACAGTATAGCCTCGGTGTATTTCTGTATATAGAACCCATGCAAAAAAGAGTGTTCGCTTCAGACTCACTAATGTCATGCAATATAATGGATTCAAATCGGCTTGGTTCTGACCAGCACGTCAGGTTTTTTGGCTAGTAACACTTAATTAGACTCAGACCCAAACGAGATTTCTTCACATGATGTTATACAGTTATTTCCAAAGCAACTATAAAACATTGTAATAAATGTACAGCGCGAACGGTATCCCTCTCTGCATAATAATAATAATAACAATAATAATAACAATTGCTTACACTTACAAAGCGCTTTTCTGGACACTCCAGTCAAAGCGCTTACACATTCCTTGCGTAGAAGCTGAAACTCTGCTACTCTCGTCAGCCTTCGACTACATGACTAGGTACCGTAGCTTGTTCCACACTTTCACAACCTACGGTCCTTTGTGTTGAAAAGTACCTACTGATTAAAGTTTTGAGGGCTCTCTCCTTCCATTGTGTGCTTTGGCTTATGTTTCACTGTTGATTTTGTAGAATTCATACTGGTGTTTCATGTCATTGAGGATCATATCCCTACATACAGTAGTTCAAGTAGGTAGCTGCATCAGCATGCATAGGCTGCAAAGGAACATGTAAAGGTTAATTCCATGCTGAAAAGAGAAGAAAAGAAACACAACATTTCGGCTGTGGAGCCTTCTTCAGGTGTATACCTCTACATAGTCTTCTGTGTTTCTTTAGTCCGTCAGAGAAATGCATTCCTTTGAGCCCTGGAATGTATAGTATACGGTCATCCTTCTGTAGTCTAATTACTAGCGTTATATGAGGAGTATGGATTGTTTTCTGATTCAAGATTTATTTTTGTGTATTTTAGGTAGGTTAGAGAGGTGTATTTCCATCACCGTCTGTCAAGGGTTATGGTGAGCATCACAGCCTTTCTGTTCCCATTTTTTGTGACAGACAGTTTCCATGGTATGTTTACTGAGACTATATTTTGTTTATGTTTTTGTCTAAATGTTTAATTTCTGGCCCTGACAAGACATCCCGCTAGTATAAAATATATTTTCAGGGACTGATATCACTATTCCAGTATCAATTGTGCTGATCATTAAATACAGTTTGTTTTTTTCAAATTATTGCTGCTGGAATGTTATTTTTGAGTGTACTATACAGCTCACTGGTTCTAATTTGATTAATTTTAGAGATGTTCCATTAATAGCCAGCTAAGGGAACTCTCTCCTGGCAACAGTGAGAAGTCCCTGAGTTTTTGATGGGTTTGTGATGGTTATAAGGTGTGAAGGATGTACAGTAAATATCTGTTGGTAGATAGAAGGCAATCTGATCTTATCAAGATACTGGCCTTTCACTCAATGTCTATCAATTTTTCTTAATATTGATTTTTAAACTTTTAATTATTTTTTGTGAAATTTTTGTGAGGTGAGATTTTTTAATAATAATAACATCACTTTATTAACCCTTTACAATTTCTTGCATTAGGAATTATCTTTTTGCATACCCCAGCTTGCTCTGTGAGACACAGATAGGGAGAGAACCTGGGGTCAGAGCACAGGGTCTGCCATTGTACAGCACCCCTGGAGCAGTTGGAGTTAAGGGCCTTGCTCAGGAGCCCAACAGAGTAGGATTCCACTGCCAGCTGCAGGATTTGAACCAATAACCATCCAGCTACAGGCACAGATTCTTAGCCACAGAGCCACCATTACAAGAATTGTGTTTAGGTATGTTGTGATAAGGGTGACAATGTTGTTCAGTAGTTAGCATTGCTACCTCACAGCACGGAAGCCCTGGCTTAAATTCCTGGGGTACTATCTGCATGGAAATGTTACACTTTCCCTGTGTTTATGAGGGTTTTCATCAGGTGTTCCAGTTTCCTCCCACAGTCCTCAAAAGTACTGGTAGGTTAATTGGCTTCTAATAAAAGCTGGCCCTGGTGTGAATATATACTGTATGTGTCCCTCTGTGTCTGCCCTGTGTATACTATCATCCTATCCAGAGTGTACCCTGCCTTGCATCCGTTGCTAAGGTGCTATACAGCAGCCATAACACCCTGCAACTCACAACTGGCAACCCACTAAAGCTAAGAAAGTGTGAGCCTGCTCAATACTTGGATGGAGACCTCCTGGGGAAAAACTAAGTTTGTTGTGTAAGATGACTGGGGAAGGGTCATCCAGGACAGGTACTTCAGGAACAACCTGCTCAATATTTTTTTTTGTTTTTTTATTAATATACAAAAATAACAAGTCACAACAAGTCTATTTGCACGCACACCTCTCGCTCTTTCATACAAGGCTCTATGCCGCACACACACCTCATCCAGCTTCCCATTTGAATACTTTGTCAACCAGATTGTTGCTTGTTTATAAAACCACGGTCTCCTTTTCGCTTTGGGCGTGGTATTGGTCCACTTTCACAAAGGCCGCACTAACCAGGAAGAACCAAAGCCTTGCTAAATACTGGTACTCATGTTGTACCTCCTTCACACACACCCGCACAGCTTGTGTGCACAGCTTCACACACACCCGCAACAAATATGGCATTTAACTTTAAAGGTAAATCCGGTACATCCCTCCCACCTTGATGACATCCTTTGTACATATCCACCCTTCTTACATACTCGTACTTTCCACACCAGATGAATTGAAACACCAACCTTGCATGTGGGCACAGGAAAAACATTTGCCAAAAAAACAAGCATAGGAAGTATGTCCATTTTGATCACCTGTACCTTCCCAATATATGATAAACGTCTGTTTCTCCACATGCCTAGCTTTCAGCGAACCCGGTTCAGCTGTGTTTCCCAGTTGTGTAGCCCTAGCACCCCAGATCCAAATTCTACTCCTAGTATCTTTATTGGCCCAAGTTTTGCCCTCACGGTCTTTGACACCTCAGCTTTGTTTCTCCACTTTCCAAAGATCTTAAGCATGCTTTTGTCCCTATTTACCTTAGAGCCTGTCGCCCTGCCAAACTTGTCCACAGTCTCCTGGACATACTGTGCAGACTAAACTCCGAACTCAGTAACAAAGTTATATCATCCGCATATGCAGCAAGCTTAACTTGCCTACCTCCACTTCCTGGCACACACAGACCGTCTACCTTACTATAAGATCTAATCATGATAAGCAAAGGCTCCACATACAGAATATACAGCAAGGGTGACAAAGGGCATCCCTGTCTTACCCCTCTTCCTATCTGAACTTTTCCACCCAGGTGCCCATTGATACACACCCTAAAACCAACGTTGACATAAAGTAACTTTAACCAATTAACAAACCTAGGACTCAGGCCAAACCTTTGCAGTATCAACCACAAAAAAAGTGTGATGAACCTTATCAAAAGCCTTTTCTTGATCAAGGCTTACTACAAGCAAAGGCATATTTCTGTCCTCTGCCCAGGCAATTGAGTCTCAGGAATTAAGTTCCAGGATATAGATCTACCTGCCACACCACATGACTGATTAGGGTGGATCAATATTGGCAAACCCTTCCATAGTCGGCTCCACAATACTTTAGCAAGGATCTACACAGAGGAGTTGGACTGGCCTCCAGTTACCCAAATCTAAGGAGTCGCCTTTTTTATAGAGTAGGGCCAGGACCCCCTGCCTCATGGATTCACTCAACCCTCGGCCTTTTACAATTTCCTCAAACACCTCTACCAAAACTGGTCTGAGTACTGTAGGTCCCAAAAGGTCAAGTAAAATTCCAAAGGCAGCCCATCAATGCCCGGGACCTTGCCTTTCCCCATGCTGCGCATGGCCTTCTCCACTTCCAGCAGCTCAAATCCTGAGTCCAGTCCCTCCATCTCCTGTTTTTAACATTTATTAATACATAGAATATGCATGTAAACCTAACAGATCTTATCG